GTGGTAGCACTGGAAGTAGAGATGTCAGACTAAGCTGTCCTGCCCAACTAGTCACAGCAAACTGTGTAGCAGGACCAGGAGCAAAAACTTCTTGATCTAAGCCTGAGCATCAGTGGGAGGAGAAGGAGGAGCTGCTCCCCAGATAGTACAGTTCCCAAGAGTGGAAGAGCTTCTGAGAGGATGAGAGCTTGCTAGACACAGTTTTTGGCAGCTGAAGCTCTTCCTCTTCAGCCTGACTGTATGTGATACAAGCAGGATTCTGTGTTCATCCCTCTTGTCTCCTCATGATATCTGTACTGGTAAGGTTTAACTTGTGGGCTTCTTTTTTATTTGCAATAGTTAAATGCAAGGATAAACTGCCTGGGTGCAGTCAGAGAAATTCTCCCTTTTCCAGAGCCAGTGACTGAATTCACCACTGTTCAGGTGCTGATAGGGGAAATCAACTCTATTTACCATGGGCATCCTTTGGCACTTTAGCAAAAGTGGCTAATGCAGGCTATATTTGAGTGAAATCTAGCTGGTGAAAATCATATAAAGCCCAACCACAAATTTCCGTGCATTAACTACTGTGTGATGGAATAAGGTCAGAGAGAAAAGCATGATAAATTGTGGAAGAAGGAGACCCAAGGACAGAGATACAAAGGACTCAGTTTGGAGAGCTGTGATTCTCATAAGACAGGATTTATTTCAGGTGAACTATTTCTCCTTTCTCCTGCACATCTAGTGCAGAAAACTCTCCTAAACACTAGGCTAGGGGTCCCTGCAGCCCAGGAGAGGCCTTACTGTCTTGCATAGAGGAACTGTTGGGTAGCAGTGCTGGAGTTCTAGCCTCTGGACCATAATTTTCTCCTCCAGTCTTTCCAATCATCTGTCATGGCCTCACCTTGAAAGCTTCACATGCTGCCACAGAGGGAGTTAGCACAGAGCTCACTGTTTCACACTGTGCTCGCTCCCTTTTTAAACACCCACAGACTTCGCTGCACAATTGTCTTCATGACAACCTCTGTAGCATTTTCTGTTTGTAGTGTGAGGGTTTCAACTGTGAGTGATTCAGCAAAAGTTTGTTCTTTTGCATACTACTGTACTATTGTTGAAACATTAAAAAAAAGCTAACATAAGAAGTAGCTGAGTATTTATACCTCTAACTGCAATCTAAGTATTTTAGAAGGTACTTCGTAATATAGTGCAAATATTAATTATAGGGTACTCTACCAGCATGTGTCTAGGTATCTGTGAGGGGGATAGTGACTTGCAGAATTTTATTTACCAAATTAAACATCTTTGCACAGCTGCTTGGTATCAAGTAGATTTGATTTCTTCCAGAAATGAGAATAACTGCTTTTAAAATGGACTATCACCAGGAAAGAAAAATGGTAGCAGAATAAAAGTGTCCCTTCACACACCTTTTTCTACATTCATGTCTTCCCTTTTTGGCTGCAGGATCAATAGCTCATTGCTCTGTTGGTTCAAATAGTATTTCTGTCTTATTCAGATAACTGTGCAGCAACATATTATTTGTGAATTCTGTTTGAAGGCTATTGAAGGGAAATGGGAGAGCTGCATATCATAGAGCCCACAATAAATGAATACCAATTATTACCTCTTTTAGAGCTTAGATGAACAGAAAACTACTCGCAGAATGCGAGATACTGCATTAATTAAACAAATAACTGTGAGTGGGAGGTTTTTAGTACAAGCGTTAGATTGAGCTTGTTTGTTTACTTAGAATTTATTAGTGAGTATTGTTTAGTACTCAGAATTTGCATTAAAACATGTAATCAGAAAGTTGTATAAACACAGTATCAAAATAAGTCCGAGGTTATATGAAATGTGCACATCTCTGAACCATATTCACTACCACAGTGAGGAGTTCATAGCAGAAATTGGGCTTTCATCAGCTGAATTCAGGCTTTGTTGTTCTCTCCCTGCATTGTATGGGCTGTTTAGAAAGAGAAAAAAACAACTGGGTTAGCAGAAATGTTTGCTTTGATTTTTAGATGCTTCCTTCACTTCTAAAATTTAATTCTGATTAATCAGATACATCTGTCTTTATTTTGTTGTGACATGCATTGATTTGTGATGCTGTCGCTTTCAATAATGTGGAAACAGTTGCCTTTATTATGAGAGCCAGCAGAAATCAACATGCAGACTAACTTCATTTTTAATATTTAATTTTTTTCTATTATATATGGGGCAAGTTGCATGGATAATTTTAAAAAACAAAGCTACAATTAAAACTAGATTAAATTTGAGCTAAACCATAACAGAGAAAACTTTCTACCCGTAATATATGTTTATGCAATTCACTGATGTAGATTTTACAATGTATTTTCAGAACCACTTCTAAATTAAAACCATTGCTGGTAGAGAATTAATTAACTTGCCCAGGATATATCACATTTCTGTGTGCTGTTATTACAATATACATATTCAGGCTCCAACTAGTTCTGTCTCTGTACATTTGCACTGTGTGCACCTCGCTTCATAATTGAAGGTGGTAAAAAAATCATGGTACAATGACGCATTGTTTTCCATAACATTAGTATTTCACAGAAGTGAATCTGTATTACAAAATGTATATTTTTGTATGATATTACAGCATAGTAATTTAGATTAAACTAGTTATAATTTATGGTGCCAAGCCAAAAAGCTATTTAAGATGCATTAAAATGCAGAACCATGACATTTGAAATTCTGATGT